TATTTTGTTCTAAAAATTCATCAACTTCCTTAGTTATTTGAAGTTCAAGATCACTTAGTTCATTAGTAGTTGTAAATAAATTCTCAGTATTTACTCCTATCCCTTCATTAATTTCTAATTCTAAAATTTCAGAAAGAATTTTTGTGTGATTAAAACAATTTTTAATCGTCATTGAAAAAATATTATACTAAGCATTTACAATAAACTTTATTGCAATAAGTATGTTGAGATTATTTTTTCATATTTATTTATAATCTATCAAACAAATTGAGATTTATAATGACTTTTAAATGACATAATTACTTCTGCATCCAATGGTTGAATTTTACTTGTTGTTTTAGGAGGAAAAAAATATAGCTTCGTATTTCTAAAAGTTATACTATCAAGTTTATAACTTGCAGCATTATCTATTAAAAGGATAACATTATACCCAATTATTTTTTAATCAAAATCTTGTATTCATTTATTGAATATTATTGTATTTATCCAAGCAGATTTATTGGCCTCATATGTTATGCATAAATTATTTCAATTAACATGCTTAAAACATCATAGATTTAGAAATTTTCTAATTACAAGTAGTTTATACTTATTACTTCCATTAGCATTTACGCAAAAAACAACTGTTAATCGTTTTTTATTTTTTCCCCTACCTTTTAAACTTGTTGTAGCCAGTGTAATATCAGGTTCAAGATGATAGAATAATGCTGTCTTATCCATATTGTAAATATCTTGAAGATTATATTGAGCTAATAAAATTTTTAGCCTTGGAATTGCAGTATTCATAGCATTATGATTAGCTAAAGTATCTTCTCTATGACATTTAATTTTAAAAATTCTATATCTTTTTTTAAATTTGTCTAATCATTCTACTGAAAACTTGAACTAACTTATAGACAAATTTAGAAGCTGTGCAAAACATTTAGCCTTTTCTATTAAAATTGCATTCGTTATTGTTAGATAAACTTGATATTGTATAATTCATTTATACAATACATAATTAAGTTCTTTATGTTGAACAGGTTTTATTCTTTTTGAGGAGGAACCTTCTTTAATATCATTTTTTCGCTTCAATAAACGTCCAATTGTAGTATGATAAATATCAAGATTATATATATTTTTTATCCATTTAATAGTATCATCATGGGTTTTATTTGGATTTTCGTTTCTGTGTTTAATAACTTCTAATCTTTGCTTATCTGTAAGCGTAGTTTTGCTAACCTTTTTGGTAAGCATAAGCAATTTAGAATAACAAATAATAATATAAACTTTCTTTTATTGTTATTTTATTTATTTATTACATTATAAAATTGTATTATATTATAACTTTAATAAATTAATTTTTTTTATCATTTCTATGTAATATTACATAAAATTTATTGAAAAATCAAATAATATGTGTTTATAAAGAGAGAAGGTGCACTTATAGAGTGTGTACTTATAGAGAGTCGACTGTATTCTATAGGCATTTTGCCTTACATTCAACTTTGCATAGTTCTCTCAGAATAAAGTACTTTATATTCGATCCTACACACATATACTTAAACAGTATAGTCAAGTTTCAGAAGATTTTTAACCCAGTTTCGAATCTATCTGTCCAATAGTTAATAGAAGATAAGAATAAAAATAAAGTATTAAACTCATTTAAAAAAAAAAGTTAATAACAAAAATCAAAAAAAAAGAAAAACAAGAACCAAAGATATTTATACTAGATTATGTGACACAGCCCTACTGTATTTTCTTAAAAAACTTTATCTATAAACCCAATATTCAGAAAAATTTACCAGTCTTTCTATGATATCTTATATATCCAAGACCAGCAACTGGAAAAGTCTTCAAGAAAAAGTTTATTTCATTGAAACTAGAACCTCAAGAGCTAAAAACAGAAGAAAAGCAAAAATAAATACTTCAATTGTTAACAAGAAAGGGAAATTCGAATGTACTAAGAATCTCGAAAAACACATGATTGGTACTTTAGAGAAGAATTGTAACTCTAAAAAAAAAAGTACTTAAAGGAAGTTAGCAATGAGAAATAAGTTAAAAAAAATAAAAAAACCAATATACAAAACCTTGCCTGGGTTCCGAAATAAATTTGGTGATAAAACTTTGAAGGAACAAGAACTGGAAAATCTGAAAGAAAAATATATATTTTTTTAAAAAAAAAAAGAGTAGCAAACTTAGAACTAAAAGTATACAAAACTTTACCCAAGTTCGTCTTCAAAGACATGTTCAGAAGCAAGAAATTTGGTAAAGATCTCGCCACCAACATTTTGTCATGATCAGTAAAAATATCTTGAACAAGTCTATTTGATATAAAGGTGTCTTCATGAAGCCAAGACCGAAGAAATCTTACAAGAAAAACCTGAGATAACATAGAATTGAGTAAAAAGCTGAAAGACTAAAAGTTGTAAAGCTAAAGAAGAAAACAGATAAAGAAAAAAATTTGAAAGTTCTGAAGTGAGTAAATCATCAAATAACTGATAATCTGATGATTATGTAAGTGATGTCAAGAACAAAAAAAATAAAAGAAATATCTCTTATATATTTAGAGCATCGATTTGAACTCAAAAGATTCGATAATAAAGAAAGGCTTTAAAATAAGAAGCCCTAAGAATAAATGAATAAATAGTTAAATAAATAATATTTAAACACATATCTTTACTAATTCTGAATGCGAAGTTTTAAAAAAAAAAAAATTTTTTTAATGTTTTATTTTTTTCTTCAGTTATTATTTTAAATAGATTATTTTTATTTTTATTTTTTTTTATATTTGTTTTTTTTAGAAATAGTATAAATATATATGTATTTGTAAGTCACAACAATAGAGCCTAGTCTAGTAAATAACAAAACTTGTGTATGAAATTTTGGTTGTGGGGTTATTTTAGGCCATACAAACTTATACTATTGGTTTTCATATCACCAAGTAACTTCTTGTGACCCGGCGACCCAGCTTTTAATTTTATTTTCAAAAAATTTTATATGTAAAAAACATATAAAATTTTTTTACAAAAATTTAAAAAAGTTCACCCGGATAATAAATATAGTAAAAAATTTTTTTCAAACTTTTGTTGAATTTGACCCGGCCGGGTTATGAGAACCAATAGTATAAGTTTGTGTGGCCTTAGGTATAAAACTTCTAAATTTTTGGTTGTGAAGTCATCCCAGATATAAAAACCTTTAAGTTTTTAGTTGTAGAGTCATTCCAGGTATAAAAATCTCTAAATTTTTGGTTATGGTTATCTTAGGTATAAAAACTCCTAAATTAAGTTAGTTTTTATATAGAATTTTAGAAATAGATTATTATTTTTTATATAGAAGTTTAGTTTAGAATTTCATAATTACTAGTTAATTATATTCAGAGAACCTTGCATTTTTGAAAGGGGAAATATAACATAGTAATATTTTTAAGTTCAATGTTTCATGTAGTTATATAGTCACATGACATAGTTGAACCTTTTGTGTTATGGCTACTACTAAGTTATTTTTTTTAGTATAGATTTTTCTTTTTATTTATTTATTTATTTACAATATTATACTATCTATTTATTTTGTTATACATAAATTTGTTATGCATAATTTATTATATATATGATTATTATATATAAATCGTTATATATAAAATCATTTTGTATAACTAGGGCTAGTAAACAGGTTTAAAATAAAAATTGTAATTATAAAAAGAATATAAAACACCCTTTTAAAGGGACATGATTCACGGTTATATTCAAAATAACTATCTAATAAAATATCTCTTCATCTTGAATCTTTTCTAACAAAGATCTAACTCACCTTATCCCTTAATTGATAAAGATTTGCAGGCAAATTTGCCTGCATAATTACTATAAATATGTCTTTGATCTACTTTTTTAATTATTTAAAATATTT